GATTCAACATTTATACTATCTGTGAATCTACATTCACAGAACAAATTGATGCACATGTGTTCTGAAACTTGAAACAAATTTTGGTATGTGGAAATTTATCAGAAGGAAATAAGAAATGCATTAAACCATATTCCTGCATTATTTCCATAGTAAAAAATTAGGGGAAAAATTAAGTATCCAACAGACACAGCACTATGAAGTACACAGATCTACATCTGTAATGCTTCTATGAGCATTAGAAAGATGAGTTCTTAGAGCCTGTATATATTTGAGAAGAGGCAGGAAACAAAAATCTTACTAGCAAATGATACTGAGTGAAAAATATATACACAGAAAGAGGCTTAGAAGAAAATTAATGAAGCTGCTGCTAATAGCTATCTTGGAATGGTAGAATCCTGGGTGATTCTGTTTTTTTAACTTTCAAATAATTAGCTACTACTTCATAAATAATCACTCTTTTATTTAAATTTTACTATTGTTTTGTTTAAAACAAAAATAGATGACATCAAATCCTCTGGTTTCAATTAATTTCCCATTTAACTGACTAATTAAAGTATGATTTAAATGTATTTTTCATTATTTAATCCTCACAATTTAGTTATGAAATAATTAGCATCCTATTTTACTGAAAAGAGAATATTCAAAGAAGTTCAGTAACTAGCCAAAGGTCACATAACCTGAAAACAGCAACACTAAGATGCAGAATTAACTAAGTCTGTCTGACAACAGGGTAAGAGTCAATTAAGCTTTCCCTACCTCTCCTCAGCAGGTGAGCTGAGATTCTGATCTTAAGGAACATCATGAAATTTCCAAGATTAAGGGAACCTCAGAGACTGACAATATGGGAATGATCCTCCAAAGGTTACAAAAAAATAATGTGGGGGACTTCAATATTCTGATTATAAATTCAGTACAATTTTCACAATTTTATGACATTTCTCAAAGGAAAGACTATGCTCATTGAGTAATTTAATAAGATACCTTCAGTTCTATTTTGAATTTAACTGAAAGACTATGCATCTATCTACTCAAAAATCTAGGCTTTTGTTTGACTCTAAATTATCATTCTTCAGAGAGTCCTATGGCTACAGAGCAAAAAGGTAGATTATTCCTCTGTATGGGACTGTATTTCATGGCACTGTATTTGGCATTCTGCTAAAATAATGCAAAAACTAGGAGACAATAAGAGTGAAAGCCAGACTACAATTCATTGTAATGAACAATCAGGATATTATGTTCTAGAATAGGCTTGGAAACCCCATACTTAGACTCCAAAGTAATTTTCTTTTTCTGCTGAAATCCTAAATTTTTATCCTAAAAAAAGAAAGATTTTAATTTATTTAAGCCAGTCCCACAGAAATGCATACTGAGAGTTAGAATATTGTACACTTTCTCAAAGATCCCAAGCAAGTAATGAACTGTTACTTAGCCAACAGCTATCACCTTTTATCATCAGAATCAGTGTACAAGCTCTTGATCTATTGAGGAAGAACTTCTGATAGCCTGGTAATTAAGATAAAACCCAATTTTTTAACAGGAAAAAGAGTAAGGAGTCCTTCGATCTACTGCTTCCAAATTAGTAAAATCTGAATTAGTCAGATTCTGAATCAAAGATATTCATATCAGCTTTATTTGAAAATTTATGTATGTAACAAAAGATTTTTAAACAACCATACACTTTTTACTGACATCAAATATTAAAGTTAAATTTAAATAAACATGGAAATCAAAATTAGTGTATTTCACCAAGATTCTAAAGTTGTATTTTTCATCACACTGAGACAAAGATCAAGTTATTGTTAAAAGTCATATTTTCTAAATAATTCTCTCATAAAAACCATTATAATTATAGAGTACTATTTATAGATGTAAGAAATAAGAATGAAGAGTATATCAAAGAAAGTCTTGTCACATTGCATTATGATACTTTTTGAGGTGCTTCGTAGTCATTATAGTAAAAATTATATATTGTGAATTTTATTTTGGTCAATTTTTCATTTTATTACCACCAAGGAATAGTTATTATGTTAAATTTATGCGACAAGTTTCATTTCTAAAATGCAATTCACATTTTGCTGAAATAAGAAAGCATATGCTTAAGATAAAATATTGTTAAAATATAAAAATCATTATCACATGCATATTTGGAACCATATATTATAATTCTAGTGCTCACATTACAGAGAAAATAATTTAGTGAATTTAAAACACATTGTCAAAGAATGGAGGAAAATTAAGGAACTAGAAAGTTAGGCAGTGCAAACTGCAGCCTTATTTGCTCACTTCTCAGGCAATAACCTCAAGCCCAATATTCAAGAGGGACTGGCACAATTAGGTAAAACAAAAAGATGAGAGAAAGAGATGTACATGTAAAATAATGGAATATTATTAAATTTAACCCTGCCAAATTACCTTATATAACTGATTTATCCTATGGGAGTTTTAGCTTCTCTGTATGTGAAAGAGTAATATTAAAAGCAACACTTTGAGAAATGCTTCAGGATGCAGATCTGGGCAAAGAGGTTTTTAATATGACCCCCAAAGCAAAGACAACAAAAGCAAAAGTTGACAAGTGGGATTATATCAAAACAAAAAACTCCTGAACTTCAAATGAGTAGTGATAACCTACAGAAAGAGAGGAAATATATGCAAACTATTCACTTGATAAGGGATTAACATCCAAATACGTAAGGAATTAAAACAACTCAACAGTAACAGAAACTAATCTGATTAAAATACAGGCAATATCATATCATCTTTGTCCTGAGTAGATGTTTTTTGGGCAGCTGACCTGCAGCCTGTAGGCCCACACTGTCTGCGGTGAAAGCCTAAACCAGTTGTGCAGCTTAGTCCCTTTGTCCAGCAACCAGAACGGTACATCACCAGTTGCCCATCTTAACAGATTCAAGAATAAGAGAAAAGATAGTACAGAAATGAGACAGTGCCATAAAGAAGTAAATATGGAGCTAAAGAAAGCTAAGGAGGGTGACCCGGTACTGAAAAGGAGAGATGTAAGCTCTTTTCTTGATGATGCAACTTCTCCACTGCAGGAAAACCACAACAACCAGGGCACTGTAAATTAATTTGCTGATGACACTGTCAAAGGCATAACTACCAACAATTTGGAAATCCAGTTCCAAGCTGTTCCAGGCATAAGCCAGGAGCCAGGAACTCCATCTTGGTCTCCCTCCAGGGACTGCAGGAATCCAGTACTTCAGCCATCTTCCGCTGCCTTACCAGGCACATTAGCAGGAAGCTGGATAAGAAGTGGAACAGCAGGGACTCAAACTGACATTCCATTATTGGATAGCACTACAAAGCCAGACTCCACACTCCCAGTTTTCTTGTCACAGGGCTGTCTCCTGGGAATTGAACTCTTGGAATGTCCAGGATACTGATAAGAGTGCTTTGCATGCTGATAGCCTTGAGTCATACTGCAGCAGTTTGGGCAGTCCATCTAGAGCTTATGTAAATAATGCATTTCCTCTGTGAGTCTGGAACTTGAATGACAGAGGGCAAGTACAGAGCCATTGTTTGACCACATGAGGACCCCCCCCCCCCTTCACAATTCTGAAACTGAAAAGATTGAGAAGAACTTCCGTGGCAGGCAGCATTTTGCACACATTGTCACATCTTCTACAACTCCTTAGATGCTTGTACCTGCTTTCCTATGGCGTTCACCTTGCTGATCTGACTTTGCATGCTTTTGCTCTAATAAACCATAACCATGAGTGTAACAATTTCTGGGTCTTAAGACTCTTAGGAAATCACTGAACCTGGAAGTGGTCTTGGGGAATGCTCTGGTGTATGTATGTATCCATATGTGTGTGTATATCAATGTAGGAGTCGGAGTCGGAGTCCCTAGCTTGCTAAATGCCGGTCTCTCTTCTGCACTCTGGCTTGCTTGCTTGCCTGCTGTATAGGCCTCATCTTGGGCCATGAAGGGGGCAGGCCAGGTCCTTGAGAAGAAAGAAAGTAAGCTCCCCTGGAATTTATGACCTTCTGCTCCCCACCAGCTCCCCGGGAATTTATGGCCCAATGCTTCCTGCCAGTGCCTCCCCGTGCCATCCACTTTGTGTTGCCTTCCCCCCACATAACGTATACAGCCTATACGTTTAAATGAACCAATGAACATGTTAGGTTCCAATACTTTGCCATATAGAGAGTAAGAAGGTAACCTACGTAGGAGATGACCTGCACCCTTGTAAGTGTGAGGCTATAAAAACCTCTCTTATGGAAAGGAGAGGGCCTTTTGCCTGTGCACTGCTAAAGGGCTGTGTGCGGGTAGGAGGTCCCAGCCGGCAGGTAACAAATAAACCTCTGCTTTTGCATCCGCGACTGTGCCTTGTGCATTGACTGGGAAATTCGGACACTATACAACTAATCTGTATTGTTGGGGAAAATCAGGAAGGACTGTTTGAGCTGAACTTTGAAAAAAAGTAGGAGTTAATTGGATTAAAAAAAAGAAAGAAAGAAAACATGCTTTCCAAGCACAACCTATGGGAGAGTGGTGAAAAGAACTCATAGTCTGAGAAAGTAAAAAGCACAGACTAAACTGAAAACCACTTGTGTGCTTTTAAGCAAGTGAGGGTGATGTGATCAGATTTCAGAAAGATTCACTCAGGTTGCAATACAAAGACAAGAATGTTAGTAGGCTACTTTAAGACATCTAGGCAAGACTTTCATTATGTTAAGGTGGTATTCTACATTCCTCAGATTTTAACTATTAGGTATCTCATCGTTATTCTTACCCACAGTTATTCTGTTCTTGTTATTTTGTTTTCTGAAGGAAAGTAAGTAGGTGTTCTTGTAAGGAAATACAGAGAATAAGAGGAGGGGCAGAAGCCACAAGAAAGGAAGGAGAGGAGTTCATATACCTACTTTTTATTTTTACTGAGTACTTTCCCAAAATGGTTAAATGTATTCTAAAGCCTGCAAATACTTGGTTATGTGTTAAATATATTAAAGGTTCTAGAACAAGGAATAACATAAGTACTTACCACTATAGAAGAATGCCGAATGTCCAATATATAGGAGTATTCCCAAACATGGGAATTTAATTTTAAAAACTTGCTCATATTTTCCCCATGGATCCCAAGATTACGAAGGCCATTCATCATTTTTCCATCTAATTTCAGCATATCCAGAATACTTTTTTTAAAAAAAAAAAGAAACTACATTTTATTTTGCTTTGCCTGATTAAAAATAGCTTTTAAGGTTTGATAGATTTCTAAAGCATTAGAAAGTTCCAGTGGTATTTTTATTAATAGCCAAAAAATACATTACTAAATTAAACTCATTAATAAATAAGACAAATATTTCTTCTAATTAGTCATACACTGTAAACTTAGATGTTTTGGGGGCATAAAGGGTAATACAATCTAACATTCATCTGAACAATAATCTCCAAAGTCTCTTCCAGTTCTGACATTTTGAGTTGCACACTTTGATGGTCTATTCTTATAGGCTGTTTTGTACTGACAAAAACATGTATTTGGGGGGATAAGATGGATAACGGGTACCAAAATGTAGATAGGAGGAATAAGTTATAAAATTCTGTAGTGACCACTGACAATAATTTACAGCTAGAAGATACGATTTTCAATATTCTCAACACTGAGAAATGATAAATATTTGAGGTGATGTAAATGTTAATCATTCTGATTCAGTCATTACACATTATGCACATGTTATAAAAATATCACACTTAGGGTAGGAATTTGGCCTAGAAATTAAGCCAGCATTTGAGATGTTCACATCCCATATTGAAGTGCCTAGGTTCGAAGTGTCAGCTCTATTCCTGGTTTCAGTGTCCTACTAATACATACTCCGGGAGGCAGCAGATGGTAGCTTAAGTAATTGGGTCCCTACAATGCATGTCGGATCTGTACCGAGTTCTTGGCTTCCAGTTTCAACATAGCCCAACCCTAGCCACTACAGGTGGGGGGTGAACCAGTAGTTAGAAACTCTTATCTTTTGTGTGTCTGCCGCTCAGATAAATCAAAATTTACAAAAATTATATTATACCCTATAAATATGTACAATTATGTCCACTTAAAATAAAAACATGCATTTGCTTTACCTTTAGTGATTCTTCGTATTTATTTATTTATTTATTTATTTTAGATGCAGAGCAACAGAAGAGAGACAGATAAAAAAGAGATACAGAGTGAGATCTTCAATCTGCTGGTTCACTCCCCAAATGGCCACCAACAGCCAGGTATGGACCAGGTTGAAGCTAAGTGGATGAAAGGGGACCAAACACATGGGCCATCATCATCCACTGCTTTCCAGAAGCAATCCCAGGGAGCTAGATCAGAGCAGAGCAGCAAGGATTCAAAGCAGCTTTCTGATTTAGGAGACCAGCGTAGCAAGCAGCTGCTTAAACCACTGCACTACAATTCTGGCCCCCTGATTCTTTGTATTTTTTCAAATACTAAATTCAGATCATTTTTTAACCTTTATATAAGTAGTTTATATCAATAATTTAATACTTGCCTAAAAGGATCATAAACATCCATATCAACACGAAGGCCATTTATAAATAGGCGAGCATCACCAGGCTGAATTTCAAATCTATCACGAAGATCCTTGAAATGAAGCCAAATAACAGTTAGCCAAATGACAGAAAAATAGTCCTCTATGCCAGAGGTAACCAAATTATTTCTGTAGAGACACGGAATAAATCTTGTAGGCTTTGTAGGGTATAAAGTCTTTTACAACTATTTATTTCTACCTTTCTAACATAAAACATAAACAAATGGGCATAACTTTATTCTAATAAACTTTTATTTATAAAAATAGGTGGCAGGCCAAATTATGGACAAGAAGTATCTTAACCCTCCCTGATCCAAGTGATGGGAATCTAATCATAGGTTAGAAACAGAATGCAAGATTTGAACATTTTGATTTAGTGAGACAAAATTTTAAAGTGTCAATGCTATAATGATTGCTTAATACATTTTATATAATATGTATGTGCACATTTAAAATCTGATGGATGGAATATTTCTATTCCTTGAGGAAATGATATTTGAGGAGAAAAACTATGGTATATGTAGAAATATTTGGAGCTCACTCTAAATTCATAAAATTTCTCTTAAAGCCATGTTTAAATTTTCACTGTCATTCATTCAGTAAACATTTTGACTTTATTCCTTGTGCTATTAACAACTCTAGGCCCATTTCACAAGTACAACAAAGTTATCAAGATCAATGGATATCAAATCTAGCTTAAATCTTAGTCTCGTTACCCACCAGTTGAAAGATTTGGGCAAACTCAATTAGCTATTGCAATCTTTTGTTTCCTCATGTATAAAATGGGAATAAATGTATCAATCTGTTTTGCTGTGGTTTAAATGTAATACATATTATCTGAGCCTAATCATATACAAAGCACTCAAAAATGAAAGCTATTATTAGAATACTGGGTCAGAAAAATTGATTTAGGAAGAAAAACAATTTTAACAGAATGCATTTCAATGATATATATGTGACATACTAGAGATTTGTATAAATTACTCTGAAAAAGTAGAGGAAGCAACTAACTTGAGGAGATTAAGAAAAAACTTCACAAGACCTTTCTCTCTGTAACTCTACCTAATAAAAAAATTAAAAAAAAAAAATCTTTAAAAAAAATTCCAATTCAATCCCATCAAGGTGGCATGTACCAATGCCATCTCACTAGTCCCAGTGATCAATTTCTGTTCACAACTGATCATAATGATAGGACTAAGAGCCAAAGGGATCACATAAACAAGACTAGTGTCTGCAAATACTAGCTGATAGAATAAAAAAGGGAGAGAATGATCCAACATGGGAAGTGAGATACACAGCAGACCCATAGAATGGCAGACGTCCTAAACAGCACTCTGGCCTCAGAATCAGCCCTTAAGGCATGCGGATCCGGCTGAAAAGCCCATGAGAGTATTTCAGGCATGGAAAGCCAAGACACTCTGGAAAAAAAAAAACCTAAATGAAAGATCTCCGCGAGTGAGATCCCAGTGGAAAGAACGGGTCATCAAAGAAGGAGGTACCTTTCTCTGAAGGGAGGAGAGAACTTCCACTTTGACCATGGCCTTGTCTAAATATGATCAGAGACAGTGAACTCAGGGGGCTTCCATAGCCTTGGCAGCTCATGACAAGAGCCTAGGGTGATTACTGATGCCATAAACAAGAGTGTCAATTTGCTAAGTCAACAACAGGAGTCACTGTGCACTTACTCCTCATGTAGGATCTCTGTTTTTAGTGTGCTGTACATTGAGATTTAATGCTATAACTAGTACTCAAAGAGTATTTTTCACTTTATGTTTCTGTGTGGGAGCAAACTGTTGAAATCTTTACTTAATGTATGCTAAACTGATCTTCTGTATATAAAGAGAATCGAAAATGAATCTTGATGTGAATGGAAGGGGAGAGGGAGTGGGAAAAAGGAGCATTGTGGGTGGGAGGGACGTTATGGGGGGGAAGCCATTGTAATCCATAAGCTGTACTTTGGAAATTTATATTCATTAAATAAAAGTTTAAAAAAAAAAGACTTCACAGAAGTGAATTTTTCTTTAAGTTAACACTGAGTTGAGCTATACACAGAGAAAGGAGATTAGTAATTTTTAACAGGACAGAGATTTTCCTTGTTTCATACTGAACACTATCAAGAGATTACACTCTAACATCACAAGTTTCATAGGTGAAATTTTAATTTTTTTTTACTTCTTACCTTTCTATAAATTACTTGTTCTAAGAAATCTGCATTCCAATTTTAAAATCAGCAGATGCCCTAAGAATTCCTAGTATCTGCTATTTTCTTTCAACCTTGCATTGAATCTTCATACCCTCTAATTCAAGCTCTTTCCAGTAACCTATTTACTTCTGTTTCAGGGCGTTAAGTAGAAAATGCAACAAGCACACATACCCATCCTAGATTGCTAATACCCTCCAAACTGTTTATTCCATTTGCAGTGCCTTGAGTAAAGGTGCTCAAAAATCAGATAATACTAGATTGAACACTTAATTACTGAAACATTATCAGCAAGAAGAAATATGTCTGTTGGAGATGGGTGTTCACAAATTCTTCTCTTTTCTATGCCTCAGAGGGCTAACCTCAAATCCTGGAAAAGTAACCTAAATGTATTACATAAAGTGACCCTTCTTGAACATGGGGTTAAGATTTTGATTTTTAGTAACATGATAAACCAACAATTCTAAAATCCTCTTAAATAAAGCACCAAAACCCTAGATTAAAGTATATCCTGTAAATGTAGATCAGCTTTAAATGAAGTATCCACCTGAGGCAGAGATGATACAGGAAAATGAATCCAGAGACAAACACACACTACTGGCCCTGCTTTGAGGAAACTAGATCTTCCTGGGTAACCTAAAGCTTGGATTTTGAAGGTTTAATCTCAGAACAACAGAATGAGTTTTGGACTTAGTGCAGGGAAAAGAATCAAAGATATTCTCATGCACATATAACGAAGTGCTATACTCACAACAAAAAAATGAACTAGAAAACCAAATAATATGTAAAAGCAGGGCAGAAATTTGTCTACTTTGCCTTAGTCCTTGGAAGAGTAAAAGTCTTCCACGCCAATTTATGGTTTATGGCTTATTGTTACATGGGTTTTGAGGCCTGATTTCACACTATGTTTTGATGCAAAACAATATAAAATTAAGACATTTTATTTAAAATGAAATTAAACTAGTAGTGCTCAGAAATACATATAATTCCCCATGGAGAAGAATTCACTTTTTTAAAAACAATAGTTTAATCCAACATGAGCCTAGAAATCTCTTTAACAACCACTGAAGCTTAAGCTAAAGAATTTCTAACTGGCTTTCAAAAGACAGGTTGAACTTTATAAGAGCAAGCTGGTTTATAAACATGTCTAGAGGTTCCTAAGGTAAAACTATATACATTCTAAACATAAAAAGTTGAAGTTAAATTAGACAGCAATCTTCATATAGAAAGGCTTGCATTTTTAGGATAAGAAGTATGAGAAAATAAGATTCTAAGGAAAGTTTTAAAGATAGAGTTTTAGAGAGATAATGTTCAAATCTAAAGTTTTCACACAAAGAAATCAGTCAGAAACTATCAGAGAAGGTGTAAACTTTTATTTGACTTAAGGTATCACGATTTGAATTTTATATTTAAGTATCTATTATTTGGTTAGGTAATTGAAGTTATCTGTTTTGCACTGCTGAAGCAAAGAAAAAAAAAAGGCACCAAACACTTGGCCATTATTTTTTAAACAACAACAACAACAAAAAATCCCAGAATATAATTTAACAGCTCTTAACAACAAATAATGAAAGAAACACATTGAATTGACATTGAATTTAAATATCACCCAAATACAGATTCTGGCCATTCAAACCAGGGATTATCAACTTTCAAGGAATATTTCCTGATCATTGGAATTAAAGCAATTTTCTCTGAAATAAAAACAAACTCAAATTCATTTATACAACTGAGCATGGTTATAATATATTAAAATAATTTTCATATGAGTCCACAGTCAAAACTATAAAAAGCTATTCACAAAGAATTCTTATGCTAATCTCAGCATCTTCTACACTGTTCCTCATCCCTTACCGCAGCCATTAGACACAGATGTTTTTGTTTTTAAGTTTGTTGTTCATCCTTAGTGATTTTTTTAGGTAAACACAAATAGATATACATATATTTTTGTTTTCTCTACTTTCTTACACAAACAACTTACTTGCTAAGAAAATGCACTAATTTTTAAATTTTTGATATATTGTTTCTCAGTTTCATTCTAATTGATATTTCTTTTATGAGTGAGAAGCTATCATCTTTTTATTTTTTTAAGCCATTTGTTCACATGCATTGCAGGATATATGGTATGTATGGATGACATACTGGAACAGAAACATACATCAGGGCAGCCACGTCCCAATCCATGTGCAGTAACATCACAATGGAAATTTCTGACTCTCAAGTCAAAGCCATTCTCTTTCCCAGGGATGGAACTCGAGGTTCTTTAGTTTTTCTCACATGCCCATGGGCTTGTAGGCAACATGGACTGCTAGCCCAGACACATTTCTCCCCCAGTAATTGAAAGAGTACCATTATCATCTTTGCCCTTTCTCCTATCATTGTGCTCTTGAAAAGGTACTTGATCAAGAAGACCATTTGAAGTGTCATAATTATTTAGTTTACCAATTAAACTCCAGATTTATTTTATGCCATCAAGGCTTTCTTCTAAACTGTTTCACTTAACATTGCAGCTAGGGATAACCACATAATAAAATACTGACCAATGAGATGGAAGACAAAGTCTGTGCAAATATTCCAGGAAAGCTATAGTGAGAATGAACATGGTTTGTGCCATGCTTCCTGCCTCTTTCAACACTGGGTACAGATAGGAAGTCCAGAACTGTGGCTGCCATCTTGCAGCCATAAAAGGAGAGCCAAGATGTTTTCATGGATGCACTCCATTACTCTGTGGAGCATTACTACCATAATTCCATACACATCTACATTGAGACTTATTTTTATGGAAAAGAAGCAAACTAAAGTTCAGGGCCCAGTGAGTCTGTTGTTAAATCAAACCTGTTCCACGTAATACAGTCAAGCAGTAGTGTAAACACTTTATAAGTATTAACATAATTAGGGTCATTTGGGATCCAAAGGTAAGTTAGGAGATCATATGGCAGATTCTTACAAAACTACTGATCAATTGTGTCTTATTTTCTATACAAATCTAATAATACTCATGTGGCCTAACACTGACTCAGTACTAATAAACTTTTAAGTAAAATCAGTTATGAAAAACAAAACAGTTAACTTGAAGCCTTTGTTAACCTGTGAGGAAAATCATAATATGTGCTAGAAAATCTACAGCCTAAAGTGAAATAAATAGTGGATAGTAGAACATCAGGAAAGACTGACTACAATCACAGAGTACATACAACATAAAATAGATAACATAAAAGTGAAAGAACTTGAACTATTTCAATAAACAAAAAGTACTAACATTTCTTTTTGTATGAAAATTAAATATACAAATCCTGAACGCTGGTATTATTGTGGTAATTTTTTAAAGTAATTTAAGCCTGCGCCACGGCTCACTAGGCTAATCCTCCGCCTTGCGGCCCCGGCACACTGGGTTCTAGTCCCGGTTGGGGCACCGGATTCTGTCCCGGTTGCCCCTCTTCCAAGCCAGCTCTCTGCTGTGGCCAGGGAGTGTAGTGGAGGATGGCCCAAGTGCTTGGGCCCTGCACCCCATGGGAGACCAGGAAAAAGCACCTGGCTCCTGGCTCCTGCCATCGGATCAGCGCGGTGCGCTGGCCGCATCGCACTGGCCGCGGTGGCCATTGGAGGGTGAACCAAGGGCAAAGGAAGACTTTCTCTCTGTCTCTCTCTCTCACTGTCCACTCTGCCTGTCAAAAAAATAAAAAATAAAAAATAAAAAAAAGTAATTTAAGCAAACCTTTTGATTTTGCTGTATTTCTTCCCTCATCTGGTGACTTACAGGAATTCTGGTTAGAGACCTGGGAAAATAAATACTGATTTTAATTAATTTTAAAGTATTCATGACTAAACAGTAATTCTGTATTATACATTAGAGAAGAAATTAAAATCCCTAAACTCTTCAAGACTGAAAAGTATGTATTTCCATATAGACTAATTTGACAATGGTATTAAGGATTTTGTTTGACAAGCGTATTTAAATACAGAATGAGATCATCTAAATTTCATGGGCACTAATTGTATGTATTAAGTATTGTCATAGCTTATTTACTGATACTAATTTTTCAAGAATATTTCATTGAAAAACACTATTCTGTCTTGTTTTTTCCATAGAGGTAACTTTTGTGTGAATTTACCAACTTCAACATATGTTTAGATGTAAATAGGCGACATTCATAATATAAAGAGAATTCTGGCTTTTTATCTTATCAGAGTCACCATGTCTAAAATACTGATAACATAGCTGTCTTTTTAATATCCTTGGGGTATTGGTTTCAAGACCCCAAACAGATATCAAATCCATAGATGCTCAAGTCCCTTATATAAAATGGTGTTGTATTTGCATGGAATCTAAGTACATCCTCTTGTATACTTTAAATTATCTCTAAGTAACTATAACGTACAATACAATGTAAATGTTACGTAAATAGTTGCTAACACTGTATTGTTTAGGAAATAATGACAAGAAAACAGATGTTTGTATTCAATACAGACACAGATATTGTTCAAATATTTTTGATCCTTGTTTGGTTGAATTGCTGTATATGGAACCTGCAGAAACAGATGACCTACTCCACTCACTCTCGAAGATATTATAATCCCTAATAAAGACAGATCTTTCTTGTCACATGCACTGTATTTATTCAACTTGATAACCCTTAAGAATATTTAGTTACATATCTGTCAATTTTATGCATAGCAGAAAATTATTTAAAACTTAAATAATTGTTAAATGTAAAGATTACCAGCACAAAGTGAACCTTGAAACAACCCACAATAACCATTTATTATGTCATTGTTCAGCAGCATTACAAAAAATAATAACTGGAGATTAAATAATAAAAATGTTTCATTTAGTGACCATTTCATTTTAAGAAACATTTATTGATTTTCTACTAGTAGCTTTAGGGATAGGTATGTTCAAGCCTTCAATTTAGCCATTAAGCAATGTTAGCACATTTTTAAAATTTTGATTAATGACTAGCCACAGTTTGTAATATTAGAACCCCTGAATAGTTATATTGATTTAAATACAGCTAATCAATTGTCTTATTAAAAACTGTAACTATTTTACTTTACTTGTAGCTGATACAGCAATTGCAAAATTTATCAATAACTGAGTATCCACCCACATATAATTCATATTCTGGCATATAAACACTGACTTATGAAATTATTGACTGCTTAAACTAATTGAGTTCAATCAATATATTCACTCTGAACATGTAAATCAGGTAATGAACCTCTTTACTTTCAGATAATGAATCTCTATTCTTGCATTTTGTGGCCAACGATGTAAAGGCAAAGAATGTAAGATTTAAGCTTCTGTAATTTGTACTGTGGATAAATGTACAAAAATAACATTTGAGGGAAAAAAAGAGGCAAAGTAATCACCCAACAGTTAGAAGTTACACTGAGAGGGCCGGCGCCGCGGCTCACTAGGCTAATCCTCCGCCTAGCGGCGCCGGCACACCAAGTTCTAGTCCCTGTCGGGGCGCCAGATTCTGTCCCGGTTGCCCCTCTTCCAAGCCAGCTCTCTGCTGTGGCCAGGGAGAGCAGTGGAGGATGGCCCAGGTGCTTGGGCCCTGCACCCCATGGGAGACTAGGAAAAGCACCTGGCTCCTGGCTCCTGCCATCGGATCAGCGCGGTGCGCCAGCCGCAGCGCGCTGGCCGCGCCGCGGCAGCCATTGGAGGGTGAACCAACAGCAAAGGAAGACCTTTCTGTCTCTCTCTCTCACTGTCCTCTCTGCCTGTCAAAAAAAAAGAAGTTACACTGAGAACATGGGTTGCTTTCCAATTCCCCTTAAGAAAACATACAGCAGCTACATATGCACTTGGGACTTGTCACATTGTGCACTTTTCCAATACAGAAGACCATTATGCGAATGAAATAGGCCACACCAAAAGAGACAAGTATCATGTGGTAGCTAATACAAATATTACAACAAAAACTTTAATATATATAAGCAAAATCACACCTGTGATTAGATTACTGTTTGTAATCCTTATCTATATTCCTGTGAAACAGGAATATTTTCCACTTACAGAGTTCCTTGTTAAGAGAAGCACTGAGTCTGTGATTATAAAGTCAAGTAAAAGTATGTTATCACAATAAAAATAAAAGAAAAGGAAAGAAACGAAGAAGGATGGAAGGAGAAAAGTATTGTATTCTTGGAAATTGTATATGACATTCATGAAATCTGTTCTCTATATATTAATATATTTAAAATGTAATTTAAAAAAGGTAACTCATCTTATAATTTAGTTGTTGCTTATAATCTTATGTCATTCCTAAACAGAAAACAAACATATCAAAGTCATGTTATTTCAAAAATTCTCATAAACATGGTAACCAGATTGTATATATTGGTCACTCTTAGATATAGGAATGTATTTACTAAACTGGAAGATATGTTTAATATAACCGAAGTATTTTCCACAAGCAGCTTAATCAGAGATCTTACTTGCACAAAAAAGTATTCCACAAAATATATCACAGAATTATAATATGTTACTAACTGTTTGGAAACTTAAAAGCAAGAATATAATTAGTAGCATTTTGGCTACAGATTTCTCACTTAGAATAATACTTTCATTGTCCTCCATAAAACATTCCCTTATTATTTATTACCTTTTTCTTAGATTGCGTGATTTTTTAAAAATTTTTCATAAAATATTTTCTCCTTTCTGTTTGCCTCTTAGAGTTCTATTTTCTAGCACAAAAGCACATGCACACACAAGCCAATATTTTGCTTAATTAAAACATCAACACACACAAGGAAGAAAGCCCTTGGTTTTAAAAAGGCTATATATACTAGAATTAATTGACATCTTCATGTTAAATGAAATCAGCTATTTCCATAATACTTATTTAATGGAAAGAGTTCTGACTACAATCAAACCAATACACTTTACTATACCTGGCTTTTATGGGGAAGTTCTGTGAAATGTCTTTCATTAATTTTATGGCATCATAAACTGGAGTGGACATTATCTGAGAAGCTGCTTGAAAACTTAGATCTAGAAGGAAGAAAAAAACATTAAGGAATCTAGCATGTTAGACAAAATTTTTAGATATTTTCATGTAATCTTAAAAATTTACTCAGTCCTTTTTCCCACTTATTCATAAATGAACATGTTAACACTCTTACATTTAGCATTTAAATTTTAAGCAAAATTTATTAATATATACAATTAAGTTTAACACTTTCATGAATTATCATTTAATGTCTATTATTTGTATTCACAATAACAGTATTATTTCAAAAGAAGAGATCTATGCAAAGATACAGACACAAAGCTATTTTTTCTATATGTAGGTTTGATGAAAAAGAAAAGAAGAAGGGAAAAGAGTATGGAGAGCCAACTCTGGAAAGAACTGTAGGAAAGACTCACTGCACTAAATTCAGTAAGTAATGAACATTCTCTTTCAACAGTATTTTACCTTAATACTGAAATAAAATAAAATCTTAAACTTAGTATTCTGCTTGAAATGACAGTTCCATTAAAAAGAAAAACTTATGGGGTTGCCAGGGCAATAATCTTTTTTAGTCTTATTACTTTGTCAAGAATCAGAACAGACTTTAAAATTGAATTATTTATTATATAATAGTGACATACTGTAAACATTTAACTAGAAGTAGAATTCTAGTTTATCACACATTAGTAAAATTATCAGTTTAAGGGCCAGCGCCGCGGCTCACTAGGCTAATCCTCCGCCTTGTGGCGCTGGCACACTGGGTTCTAGTCCCGGTTGCCCCTCTTCCAGGCCAGCTCTCTGCTATGGCCTGGGAGTGCAGTGGAGGATGGCCCAAGTGCTTGGGCCCTGCACCCCATGGGAGACCAGGAGAAGCACCTGGCTCCTGCCTTTGGATCAGCGCGGTGCGCCGGCCACAGTGCGCTGGCCACAGTGGCCATTGGAGGGTGAACCAATGGAAAAGGAAGACCTTTGTCTCTGTCTCTCTCTCTCACTGTCCACTCTGCCTGTCAAAAAAAAAAAAAAAATTATCAGTTTAACACAAAAAGCCTAGTTTTATTTCTAAATTCTCACTGAAATGTTGAATCAGCCTGAAGTCAAAGCTCAGAAAAGGGGCACATGCTGTGGCATAGTGAAGCCACCGCCCGCAGTGCCAGCATCCCATATGGATGTTGGTTCAAGTCCTGGTTGATCCACTTCTGATTCAGCTCTCTGCTATGACCTGGGGAAGCAGTGGAAGACGTCCCAAGACATTGGGCCCCTGCATCCACTTGGGGGACCTGGAGGAAGCTGCAGGGCTCCAGGCTCCTGGCTTCAGATTGGCCCAGCTCCATTTGTGGCGGCCATTTGGGGAGTAAACCAGCACATGGAAGATCTATCTTTCTCTCTCTCTCTCTCTCTCTCTCTCTCCCTCTCCCTCTCTCCCTCTCTGCCACTCTACCTTTCAAATAAATAAATAAATAAATAAGCCTTAAAAAGAAAAAAGCCCAGAAAAAGAGGCTTTTGGGGTTAGAGCTGGTGCTGTGGTGTAGCGGGTAAAGCCACTGCCCGCAGTGTTGGTATCCCATATGGGCTCCAGTTCAGGTTCCAGCTGTTCCACCTCTGACCCAGCTCTCTGCTGTGGCCTGGGAAAGCAGTAGAAGATGGTCCCCAAGTCCTCAGGCCCCTGTACCAGCATGAGACACCCGGAGGAAGCTCCTGACTCCCAGATTCGGATCGGCACAGCTCCAGGCATTGTGGCCACTTAGGGGGCCAGTGGATGGAAGCTCTCTCTCTGCCTCTCCTTCTCTATGTAACTCTAACTTTCAAATAATTATTAAGTCTTTTAAAAAAGAGGCTTTTACAGTAGCCTCCCATGGGACAAGAGAAGCTAATGTACTATAGCTCAAATTTCAACTGTATCATACAGATCAGTAACTAACTAGAATTTCCTCAACTTAACATGTTTTCAACCTATACTACAACAAAGCTATCCAGTGCTCACTAGGGTGTCCTAAATGGACATTTTTCGATCTTTCTGAAAATCCTTTTGCAACAGAATCACTCCTGCAAAGAAAAAGTACAGATCTTCTTTCTCTTGAAAGTCTGTTTCCTTCGCTTGTATGCTAAGTTCTCCACGCTCATCATTCTGCGTCTTCTTCACGGGCTGGTCCTTCCTTCTAACATGCAGATGATTTCCACTACACCCTTCCTGGTATACCGATTAGTCATTTCACACCCTCACTTAGCACATATCCCCTCTTAAAACCTTTATGGTAAGATTTAAACTTTTTAAAGCCTTTCCTTTTATCTTAAGGACAATATATTCACCCTCTTGTTGGACCTGACCATCTGGATTTCTCACATTTTAAATCAACCTTTCCAATGGTGGTCTCATTATTTCTTGGCCCCCAACTCAACCCAATACTACTCACACATTTAATATTCTCTCTACTCAGTCTCACAGCTAGGAAACTTAGAATCATCTCAGACTGCCTTCCAAGACTGCCTCTTTATGCCTTCTACCACAGTCACAGTTCAGTCTCTCAAGTAATCATTTAAATGTCCATTTCCTATTTAGATTTGTTTCCAGTTCATTCACATAAATCTGGCACAGATATTAGGGACGGCAATTAAAATATTCTGACTAGGGGCCGGCACCGTGGCGCAGTAGGTTAATCCTCTGCCTGCAGTGCCAGCATTCCATATGGGCGCCAGTTCTAGTCTCAGCTGCTCTTCTTCCAGTCCAGCTTTCTGCTATGGCCTGGGAAAGCAGTAGGAGATGGCCCAAGTGCTTGGGCCCTGCACCCGCATGGGAGACTGGGAAGAAGCACCTGGCTCCTGGCTTCAGATCGCCACAGCTTCGACCATTATGGCCATTTGGAGAGTGAACCAACGGAAGGAAGACCTTTCTCTTTGTCTCTCCCTCTCACTATCTGTAACTCTACTTCTCAAATAAATAAATAAAAATATTTTAAATATATTCTGACTATGCATATTCTTTTCTTTATGGTCTTTAAAAGTACTCCAACATTTGTGGTTTTCTAAATTATGTAAGAGCCCTTGAAGAACACTCTGAAGGAAGTTTAAACATAAAAAATTATAATACAAGAAAAAATTGCTAAGAAAGAGACATCAAAGACACTTAAAAAAGAGAATTTATGATTTTGGAAAGAGTGTCTAAAATTATAGATTTTAGAATGTAAAACCTATTAAAGGAGGTAGTTAGGTCAGAAGGAATTTGACAAGTTGGGTCAATGATGACTGTAAGTGTAAGAGTGGGAAAGCCAGTTGTTCTGAAAAGTGAGAAAAACACTGGTCAAATGTTGATTGATTTTAAAGGTATACTTTATACTAAAGGTACATTCACGCAAAGTAGTGGCTGAAATCAATGCAGAATAAGGTGCCAAGGTTAATTATATGTCATACTAGACTCCACATGGCCTCTGAGGTACTGAAAGATGACAAACCTAAGATGAAGGAGTAGCAGACTTCTTGATGAATGTGAGCGAACAACTTAGCAGTTCAAAAGTAAGGGTGATGAGGGACACCAGCATGCTACAGGAAGATGGCACAGAAATAACCAACGTAACAGGAACATTTCTGAAAGGACAAGGCTGGCAATAAGCTTCACTCTAAATGTCATTTGTCCCAACTGGACATCAGATTGTGAGAGAAGAATAGCTAGTTCTTCATGGGAAAGAATTTCCAGAAAGGCAGACTTATTTCAAGGCAGAGAAGTGATCTCTGGAGAGGGTGTAAATATAAGGGAATTTATAAGTATTTAACTTTTTGTATGTTATCTTAGTGAAAAGGAGATTTAAGGATCCAGCAGCAAAGTCTTTTAAAAATAGATTAAAATTTTCAGAGGGCATCACAATTGTCCCAACCCAGATTCCTGGTCCTTTATTTCATCTTTACCTGGGCTCCTGATCCTTGTTGTGTGGCTTGTCTACACTGTGTTTTTTCCTCCCTGCCACAATAAACTTCCTTGCATACCTGAGTTTCTTTCCTGTGTGGATGAATATGATAATTTTCCCTGCTCTATCAACGTCTTTGGCTAAGGGTTCTGGAATGCAATACTTAGACTTGCCAAGTCAGTACTTCCAGCTGAATTCTCATTGCTGGTGTCATAATCCCTACCCTGATATATTTCCTTCTTCCTTCATAAATAACCATTTATTGAGTTCTTACTCTATGTGAGACATTATGTTAGAACCTAGAAACACCTTAATATAGAACAAATAATCTGTACATACTACAAGTCAGATGCTACAACAGGGAAAAGTATGAGAGAAAATTACATGTTATTCTGACAGAGGGTTAAGAAAATTTCCATGAAAACATTTGAATTGAGCATTAATGGATAATGAACTCGCCCAAAAGAATGCATGTTCATGTAAATGTGTTCATTCTTGTGACAAGCAGCAGCTTCCATTCAGGCAAAATCTGAGAGAGTTCTTTCTTGACCTATTTAATTTAGCTTCCACGATATCCTCTATCACAGCACTTTTTATTTCCTTTCCAACACTTAAGACAAAATTTTAAATTTCAGAGTGGGCTCTTATCTGTTGGTTCACTCTCCAAATGCCTACCACATCTGGTACTGAGCCAGAAGCCAGTAGGCAGGAATTTAATCTGGTCTCCCTCATGGGTGGCAGAAACTCAATTCCTTGTACCATCACTGTTGCCTCCCAAGGTCTTCATTAAAGCTGACATCAGGAGCCACAGGTGTGTAATGAACCTAGGCACTCTTGATATGCGATACAAGCTTTTAAACTGACACCTTAACCACTAGGCCAAAATCTGCCCCTTAACATATTTCTTAATAGTTTAATTCCCTGTTTTTCTCGTTTACTAACTTATTCCAAATCATCTGTCTTACCTGAATTTAAGTTGCAAAGGTAAGAGGCCGCCACCACGGCTCAATAGGCTAATCTTCCGCCTGCAGCGGCGGCACACCAGGCTCTAGTCCCAGTCGGGGTGCCAGATTCTGTCCTGGTTGCTCCTCTTCCTGTCCAGCTCTCTGCTGTGGCCCAGGAGTGCAGTGGAGGATGGCCCAGGTCCTTGGGCCCTGCACCCGCATGGGAGACCAGGAGAGGCACCTGGCTCCTGGCTTCGGATCAGCACAGCGCGCCAGCCACAGCGGCCATTGGAGGGGTAAACCAACGGAAAAAGGAAGACCTTTCTCTCTCTCACTGTCCACTCTGCCTGTCAAATATATATATATATATATATATAAAACAAAACAAAACAAAAAGTTGCAAAGGGTAAGGAATTTAGATTTCCTCATCCTATATTTTGATAGTCAAACTGATTAGACATTCAGTAACTATTTTTGTTGAAGAAATTAATGACTAAATAAATGAAGAGATGATCCTGTAGAAAGTTACAGAAAGCAAAATTTGTCAAACTGACAGGAGGATTCATACAGGACAGTAATAGTTTATGAAACTGGAGAAGGAAGTAAAAGATTAATGAAGAGCTTCAGAAACCACACTAAGATGTGTGGACTTAAAAATTCTAGTTGATGCATGTGAAATCTGTCTTTTAGTGGGAAGGACTGATAACAAATGACTAGCTATTTGACTGATAACACCTGGCTAGCTAGCTAATCAACTTCTTTCATTCAAGTCTCTTCTGAAAGGTAGATTCTGAAAACACAGGGTGATTTCCTCAGGCAGGACTGGGCTGAATATTTTTGGTTTGCTCTTCAGATCCATCTTGTTTCAGTTCTAAAAGGCTAACCTATAAATCAATAGTCTCCCTGACCCTCCTAATTCTGGCTAGATTCAGCCAATCCAAGACACTGATTGAGAGCAGCAAGAAAGAAAAGTAAAGACTATAGCCGTACTACCTACCTACCTCTCTCCTTCTCAGATCACATTGAGAGGGTCACGGCCCTCTACCAGGGGCTACTGCTTTCTTGGACATTGCTCTCTACATATTCTTTCCAGGTTTGGTACCCACTCTCTCTCCTTGCTCTTTCAATATTAAGGCTGACAAAGACTAATCTAGTTGCTAGTATTGGGGTTTGATAATCCATTTCTAGTTGTTTTCCCTCAAGGTACCTGTGCTTTATAAACAGTCCCTTTACTAAACTTCCTTAGTTTGTGTGTGCCAGTATCATCCTGTGGGAACTCTGACAGCTCCTACTCAGTGACAGCTTTATAAATGAAAAATTCTGACTATGCACAAGAACAAATCAGCTTTTCACTTAAGAAAGATTACCCTAGTATACTTATTGAAAATGGATTTGTTAAGTGTTACCATGATGTCAAATGATACACTAATCTCATTACCTGTGGTGGAATGAAAGGAGGGCCAAGCACGAGGTCTGGATGAAGCAAATAAATAAATAAGTAAATAGAAATCTGTACAACAGAATGTTTGAGGAAGAGTAGATTCTATCAGTTCAAATAGGTAGATTCTTTACAGCCAATTTATCATGACACTGTTCTTAAACTTTTCATTCTGCTAAATGATTTTCTATCAAGTTATAATACAGTGTTTAGCCTATAGGATATTTGTATTGGTAGGTATATATAGAAGTTAGAGAATTTTAATAGACTGAGTCTTTCACATTCTGTGATCTTTTAAAAACTTGATATTCTAAGATCCGTTAAGTATATATGAAGTTCACTTAGATAACATATGGCAGAGTATAAATAATAATTTAGACCTAAAACCACTTATCACCTAGGTGGTAACTGGACGTCAAACCAATTTCATTTTTCTTAGTAATAAAAAGATAATCCACTTCAGAATATTACTATGAGAAGTCAAACAAAATAGTTCATATAAAATGACTGTAAATATAATCCAGGTAAAATGTAAAATATTGGTATTTGTATGATCTGTGCTAGTAATTATGGCAGAAGCATTATGATAAGTATCCTTTCAGTTACTGTTTAAAAAAATAAAGTGATGGTTACTTACAGCTAGAGAGTTGGGGAGTACTGGGGAGTTATCGCTATTTAACTATGTTAGTCTTTTTGGGGTGATAAAAATGTTATAAAATTGGCTGAAATGTACTATGTATCACTGAATGGTACATTTTAAATGGGTGAACTGTACAGTATGCAAATTAAAGATTTTATAAATTTTGTGGATTATGCAGAAAATGACATGTTTCCATGATCTACAAACAATTATGAAGAAAAAATTATAAACTGCGAAGTACTTAAACCCTTAAAATCCAAACTAAATTTTGGTCACTAATTTCTGCTTATGTTTCAGAACAGAAGATGATCTAAGTTTCAAACTGCATATCATTTCATTTGATGTTTCCATTAAAAATTGATTAGTGAAACATGCAATGGTATAACAAGATCAAAATTTAAATAGAAGAAAACTAAAGTTAAGTTCCAATTTCTCCTAATCTAATAGAGAAGGACGTTTTGGGCAAATTTTTTATTTGGAAGGCAGAATGAAAATTAGAGTAAGATGGAGACAGAGATCTATCTTTAGTTGGTTCACTTCCCAAATGCCATCAACAGCCAGGGTTGATCCAGGCTACAATTAATGAAAAAGTTATAAATAAATTTAATGTTATAAATAAATTTAAGTCAAGAACAAGAAACTCCATCTGGTTGTTCCACATGGATGACAGGGACCCAAATGCTCTAGCCATCACTCACCACCTCTCAGGATTGCAAGAGCAGGAAATTGGACCAGAAGTCAAGGAGCCATAACTTGAACCAGGCACTCCAACATGGGCTACAAGTGTCCCAGGCGGTGGCTTAACTGGCTATGCCAAATTGCCTCCCTGATTGTAGATATTTTTAAACTAACATTCTAGATTCTTTGAAATGTAATTTAACAGCTGGGACTTACCTGCAATATAAATCAGTGTACACTTTAAAAATGATTACATAATCCCAAATAACTAAATTTATGTAATTTTAAGTCTTATAAATAAAAATATGGCTTGCTTGATAATCTTTTAATAAAATGAGTATTATTACAAAAAGTAACATAATTTATATCATTCATATCATTAGTAATTATGATCTATAATATAATCGATATCATTTTATGTAAAAGCATTTTTAATAAAACCAAGATCAGTTACCAAAATGCTGTGTTAAAAGTAGTTTAAATACCTTGTAGTTCCCAGACTTTCAAAGGCATCATTTCTTTGTTACTCTCAATCAGGTATTTTTGGAATGCTGTCAGATTATCCTTAAGGTCGGAATGTATTTCTCTGCATCAGAATATGAAATAGTTAATTATCATCACCTAACACAAATCAATATACAACTAGTGTGCTTTGGAAATTAATTCTTCCAAATAATTAGACAACACTAATCATTAATTATCACAATAAATTATAGCATAGCTATATTCAGAGAACTTAAAAATAATGGAGGAGATACTATTTTTTAAATAGAAAGCAAAACAAAATATGAAGAGGGCACATTTGAATTTGTTAATGTTACTTGCAAGGGCTATAAGCATGAAGCTAGAAATATAAACATGAAAGTAGATTTACTTTTTATTTATTTATTTTTATGTCTGTTACATGATTTTAACTTTTTTTGTTTCCTTTTCAATTTTTTAACTTTTATTTAATAAATATAAATTTCCAAAGTACAACTCTTGTCATGAGTTGCCAAGGCTATGGAAGCCTCTTGAGTTACCAACTCTGATCTTATTTAGACAAGGTCATAGTCAAAGAAATATTGCTTTTATAATTTAAAATAAAAACCATTTTATCAAAAAATGCTTATCAATCTTGCAACTTATTTCTGAAAAATTCTTTCATTCTTATGAAAACTGAAATAAGCTTATGTTGCCCAATGTTAAATATATATGAGTACCTTTTAGAGACAGCCAAATAATGTAGTAGGATGGCATTTTTCTGCAGATAAAATCTGAACTGTTGTCCATCCTCCACTGTTCATGAAATCAGGACATTGTTCCATTTCAGATTAAAAGTCAAAATAAAATATTTTGCTATTTCCACAACTTATGAAGTACTTATTTTCAACAGCTGGCAGAAATGAAAAATTTTAAAAGTGAAATGAAAAATAAACTCACAAACCATCAAAAGCCCATGAGAGTTTTACAGGCAGGGAAAACCAAGACATTGTGGCAAAAACAAAAAACAAAAAACAAAAAAAACCAACCAACCTAAATGAAAGATCTCTGTGAGTGAGATCCCAGCAGAAAGAACGGGCCATCAAAGAAGGCAGTACCTTTTTCTGAAGGGAGGAGAGAACTTCCACTTTGATTATGGCCTTGTCTAAATAAGATTGGAGTTAGTGAACTCAAGAGGCTTCCATAGCCTTGGCAGCTCATGACAAGAGCCTCGGGTGATTACTGACATCATGAATAAGAGTGTCAATTGTTTAATCAACAATGGGAGTCACTGTGCACCTGCTCTCCATGTAGGACCTCTGTCCTTAATGTGTTGTATTATGAGAATTAATGGTAAAACTACTACTCAAACAGTACTCTATACTTTGTGTGTCTTTGTGGATGCAGTCTGTTGAAATCTTTACTTAGTATATACTAAGTTGATCTTCTGTATATAAAGATAATTAAAAATGAATCATGTTGAAGAATGGGATGGGAGAGGGAGTGGGAGATGGAATGGTTGCGGGTGGGAGGGAGGTTATGGGAGGAAAAGCTGCTATAATTCAAAAGTTGTACTTTGGAAATTTATATTTATTAAATAAAAGTTGAAAAGAAAAAAAATTTTTAAATGCCAGAAAATAGAAAAAAAAGAAATGAATAAATTTTATAGTTAAATATCTATAGTACATTGTCAACATTTTCAATGTAACTACAATGTGGGACTCCATTTTGAACACAAATCAAAACTAATGAAGATTACTCTCAAGAGTAAAAGAACAATAGAAACCCTTCATAAAAGTTCACTATGAATAAAATGAATCCTTCATTTTCCAAAATTTCATGCAATAAGCTAGTAAAGAGTTATTATCTTTTCCAAATTTAGTTAATAAATCTTAGTTTTCTCACAATCTTTTTAGATAATTTAGGCAGTATATACAGTATTCATGTAATTCCTGAAAGCAAAGGATTCTTGTTTTAATAGGAGCAAACAATTGAGTCACTATAGAAGAAATTTAAGTATATCCTCTTCTAAAAAGTGGACAGCTTAGAGTCCCAAGGAATTTTTGAAGAACATGCAATTTATTCCCATGAAGAATTACATTTTAAAAAGAAAATATTATGGATTCCAAGTTAAAAGGCAGCTGAAAATGGGATAAAATATACTATTACCTACTAAATAAATTTATGAAAATAAATCTGTTTTATAAAAATCATTAACTTTTTAAGGATTCTAATACACTGTTTCCCCAGTATACTTAAAAAGAATAACTTAACTGTCTACATAAATTAACAAGGTCTCCAACAATGGTGCCCTTACTCTCTACAGTTATAGATTCATCAGAAGAACCAATCTCACTGTCCTTTATAAGCTCTGGTAATAGTAAATGAGAACTAAAATTATTAATTACAACATTCCTTTAATTTGGCCTATATAAAACAATCACAAACTTTTGTTCCTTATAAATAAGAGAAAGCACACATAAAGTTATACTCACTCCCATTCATGAACATTCAGAAAAGACTTACCATCCTGTCTCCAAATGTGTGTGGCAAAAGAAAAAAAATGGGGTACAACTTTAATTTCTGAAAGACTACTTATATGTGTGTATCAAATTAAGATCAGCTCTTAAAGTTTTTAATTTGTGGCACAAAATCTTAACATAATACACATTTTTTCTCTTCTTCTGGGACACAGATTTCTTCAACTTGAATTTCAATTTTGTTCATTTTTTAAAATTTATTTGAAAGTCATAATTAAGAGAGCAAGAGGAAGAGAGAGGAGGAGAGAGGGAGGAAGAGAGAGAGAGGGAGGGAGGGAAGGAGGAAGAGAGAGAGAAAGAGGGAGAGAGGGAGGGAGGGAGTGAGGGAGAGAGGGGGAGAGAGACAGAGAGAGAGAGAAACAGAGAGACTGTCCATCTGCTAGTTCACTCCCCAAATGACCAAAATTGGCAGTGCTGTGCCAAGCCAAAGCCAGGAGCCAGGCTCTTCTTCCAGGTCTCATATGTGGGTGCAGGGGTCGAAGCACTGGGGCCATCTTCCAATGCTTTCCCAGGTGCATTAGCAGGGAGCTGGATAGGAAGTGGAGTAGCCAGGTCTTGAAACGGTGGCTACAAGGGATGCTGGCACTACAGACAGTGGCTTAAACCATTATGCTACAGCACCAGCCTCATGCCCATTATTTTTATATCCTCAGATTTGCAAAGGTTTAGGTTCTATAAAGTTTTATTTTTAGCTACTAGATATAACTTCTATAATTTTCAATCTTGATTTTCTAAGCATAAAAAGCTAAATTTGTTGTATGAAAAATTTTAATTTTACTCTAATTTTTATCTCGTACTTTATGTCAAAAATAGCAGAACACCTTTTAAAATTAAATGAACCAATATAATTAAAAATTATTTCCTATAGCTTGCCAAATTAGCTTATTAACAGAATAAAAACATAATTTAATTTCTAAACAATAATAGTGAACAATATTGCTAGAGTATTCTTTTAAAAGTTTTATTTATTTATTTGAAAGACAGAGAGAGAGAGAGAGAGAGAGAAAGATCTTCCATCCTCTGTTTCACTCCCCAAATGGCTGCAATGGTTGGGAGTGGGCCAAACTGAAGCCAGGAGCCTTGAACTCCATCCAGGTCTCCCAGGTGGGTGGTAGGAGATCAAGCACTTAAACCATCATCTGCTGCCTTCCCAGGCGCATTAGCAAGGAGATGGATTGGAAATGTCACAGACGGGACTCAAACTATGGCCCATAGGGGATGCCAACTTTGCAGGTAACAACTTAACTCACTGTATTTATTTACTTGAAAGCCAGAGTTACAGAGAGGCAGAGGCAGAGAGAAAGAGAGGTGTCTTCCATCTGCTAGTTCACTCCCCAGATGGCCTCAATAGCCAAAGCTGTGCAGATCCAAAGCCAGGAGCATCTTCCAGGTCTCCCATGTGGGTGCAGAGGCCCAAAAACTTGAGCCATCTTCTGCTTTCCCCAGGCCATAGCAGAGAGCTCAATTGGAAGAGGAACAGCTGGGAATCGAACCAGCGCCCATATGAGATTCTGGCACTGCAGGCGGCAGCTTTACCCTCTATGACATAGCACCAGTCCATAGAATCTCTCTTTCAAAATTATTTTTTTACTAGAGTTTTTTCCCTGAAAAGAAATTCAATATTGACAATATTTTTTTCTTAGAAGTATTTTAAAAATGAATTTTAATAAATTACTTGGTAATTTTCATGTCTTCTATTCATTTTTTACAAACACATATTTAATGTTTATTATGTAAGAATACTATTATATATAAGTACATTATAATGCTTATTTTATGAGAACACTATTACTAAATTATTAAGTAAAATTACTTATTACCTTCAAATTATAAACCTTCAGAACAAGCATTCTTTGCTCAGCTAATTATTTAACTATTATGGCAGCCATGTTAGAAATGACTTAAGCAAAACAAGTTAATACCTTCAAGAGTAGAAAATTATATTTCATAGAATGACAACATCAAATACTGAAAATACTGAAAATGAGAAGATAACAATAGTATAAGTCTAATAAATTGGTTATATCCATTGTTTAATGTTTTAAAAGTTGAGCTAACTCCATAAATAAGAGCCTTTGTTTATGGAACAAATAATTTATTTGAGTTAAAAGCTAGTTACAGTGGCCTAACTCAAGTATCAAAAGGCTTAAATTTTTGTTTGTTTAGTTATTCCAGTAATGTTGTACAAGTTTTGTTTTTTTTTTGCTTTTTTTTTTGTTTTTTTTGTTTTTGTTTTTGTTTTTTTGACAGGCAGAGTGGACAGTGAGAGAGAGAGACAGAGAGAAAGTCTTCCTTTGCCCTTGGTTCACCCTCCAATGGCCGCCATGGCTGGCGCGCTGCGGCCGGCGCACCACGCTGATCCGATGGCAGGAGCCAGGTACTTATCCTGGTCTCCCACGGGGTGCAGGGCCCAAGCACTTGGGCCATCCTCCACTGCACTCCCTGGCCACAGCAGAGAGCTGGCCTGGAAGAGGGGCAACCGGGACAGAATCCGGCGCCCCGACCAGGACTAGAACCCGGTGTGCCGGCGCTGCAAGTTGGAGGATTAGCTTATTGAGCCGCGGCGCCGGCCGTGTTGTGCAAGTATTAAAAATAGAACCCCAGCTCTCAATGAAGCTTAAATATATATATATATATATAATAAATTTTTGTAGTTAAGATTAATATGCAAATACCTTTGTATACACAGACAATGCCATGGCTGAGGAAGAACTTCTAAGATCAATCCCATTCACAAGAGCTACAAAAACAATCAAATACCTTGGAATAAACTTAACCAAGGACGTTAAAGATCTCTACGATGAAAATTACAAAACCTTAAAGAAAGAAATAGAAGAGGATACCAAGAAATGGAAAAATCTTCCATGCTCATGGATTGGAAGAATCAATATCATCAAAATGTCCATTCTCCCAAAAGCAATGTATAAATTCAATGCAATACCAATCAAGATACCGAAGACCTTCTTCTCAGATCTGGAAAAATTGGTGCTGAAATTTATATGGAGGCACAAGAGACCTCGAATAGCTAAAGCAATCTTGTACAACAAAAACAAAGCCGGAGGCATCACAATACCAGATTTCAGGACATAATACAGGGCAGTTGTAATCAAAACAGCATGGTACTGGTACAGAAACAGATGGACAGAACAATGGAACAGAATTGAAACACCAGAAATCAACCCAAACATCTACAGCCAACTTATATTTGATCAAGGATCTAAAACTAATTCCTGGAGCAAGGACAGTCTATTCAATAAATGGTGCTGGGAAAACTGGATTTCCACGTGCACAAGCATGAAGCAAGACCCCTACCTTACGCCGTACACAAAAATCCACTCAACATGGATTAAAGACCTAAATCTACGACCTGACACCATCAAGTTACTAGAGAACATTGGAGAAACCCTTCAAGATATTGGCACAGGCAAAGAGTTTCTGGAAAAGACCCGGGAGGCACAGGCAGTCAAAGCCAAAATTAACTATTGGGATTGCATCAAATTGAGAAGTTTCTGTACTGCAAAAGAAACAGTCAGGAGAGTGAAGAGACAACCGACAGAATGGGAAAAAATATTTGCAAACTATGCAACAGATAAAGGGTTGATAACCAGAATCTACAAAGAGATCAAGAAACTCCACAAAAACAAAACCAACAACCCAATTAAAAGATGGGCCAAGGACTTCAATAGACATTTTTCAAAAGAGGAAATCCAAATGGCCAACAGGCACATGAAAAAATGTTCAAGGTCATTAGCAATCAGGGAAATGCAAATCAAAAGCACAATGAGGTTTCACCTCACCCCGGTTAGAATGGCTCACATTCAGAAATCTACCAACAACAGATGCTGGCGAGGATGTGGGGAAAAAGGGACACTAACCCACTGTTGGTGGGAATGCAAACTGGTCAAGCCACTATGGAAGTCAGTCTGGAGATTCCTCAGAAACCTGAAGATAACCCTACCGTTCGACCCAGCCATCCCACTGCTTGGAATTTACCCAAAGGAGTTTAAATTGAGAAAGAAAAAAGCGGTCTGCACCCTAATGTTTATTGCAGCACAATTCACAATAGCTAAGACCTGGAACCAACCTAAATGCCCATCAACGGTAGACTGGATAAAGAAATTATGGGATATGTACTCTTTAGAATACTATACCGCAGTAAGAAACAACGAAATCCAGTCATTTGCAACAACATGGAGGAATCTGGAACACATCATGCTGAGTGAAATAAGCCAGTCCCAAAGGGACAAATACCATATGTTCTCCCTGATCGGTGACAACTGACTGAACACCAAAAAGGAAACCTCCTGAAGTGAAATGGACACTATGGGAAACAGTGACTTGATCAGCATAGCCCTGACTGTTAATGAACAACTTAATACATTATCCCTCTTAGTAGTTTTTTGTCTGTTCTACTTAATATGACTGGTTTAATTCTGTAATTAATACACAGTTATTCTTAAGTGTTAAAAATTAACTGAAATGTGATCCCTGTTAAACATAAGAGTGGGAATAAGAGAGGGAAGAGATGTATAATCTGGGACATGCTCAAGCTGACTTGCCCCAAATGGTAGAGTTAAAAACATACCAGGGGATTCCAATTCAATCCCATCAAGGTGGCATGTACCAATGCCATCTCACTATTCCAAGTGATCAATTTCAGTTCACAATTGATCATAATGAAAGGACTAAGAGTCAAAGGGAGCACATAAACAAGTCTAGTACCTGCTAACACTAACCGATGGAATAAATAAAGGGGAGAGTGAGCCAACATGGGAAGTGAGATACTCAGCAGACTCATAGAATGGCAGATGTCCTAAATAGCACCCTGACCTCAGAATCAGCCCTAAAGGCATTCGGATCTGGCTGAAAAGCCCATGAGAGTATTTCAGGCATGGAAAGCCAAGACACTCTGGCAAAAGATCTCAGCGAGTGAGATCCCAGTGGAAAGAACAGGTCTTCAAAGAAGGAGGTACCTTTCTCTGAAGGGAGGAGAGAACCTCCACTTTGACTATGACCTTGTCTAAACAAGATAAGAGTCGGAGAACTCAGAGGGCTTCCATAGCCTTGGAAACTCATGACTGGAGCATAGGGAGACTACTGATGCCATAGACAGGAGTGTCAATTTGTAAAGTCAACAACAGGAGTCACTGTGCACTTACTCCTCATGTAGGATCTCTGTCCTTAATGTGTTGTGTATTGAGATTTAATGCTATAACGAGTACTCAAACAATATATTTCACTTTGTGTTTCTATGGGGGTGCAAACTGTTGAAATCTTTACTTAATGTATACTAAACTGATCCTCTGTAAGACTCTGCACACGCTCACAGAAAAGAAAAAAAAAAAAAGAAATTATCAACTCCCAACTTGACTCTCACTGGGATTAAACATGACAATAGGTCTGATCTGATTTCATTATCATTTAAAAAAAATCATCTATTATTTTTCACTTTATGTTTCTGTGTGGGAGCAAACTGTTGAAATCCTTACTTAATGTATACTAAGCTGATCTTCTGTATATTAAGATAATCGAAAATGAATCTTGATGTGAATGGAAGGGGAGAGGGAGTGGGAAAGGGGAGTGTAATGGGTGGGAGGGATGGTATGTGGGGGAAGCCATTGTAATCCATAAACTGTACTTTGGAAATTTATATTCATTAAATAAAAGTTAAAAAAAAAGATTAATATGCAAATAAAATTCAACAGTAAATAATTCAAATTAGAGCAAAGTGTCCAGAAATTTTTAATAAACAGCTGTTATAAACTCACTTTAAAAAGGTAAATACAGCAAGAAAAAATTAGTAAAGGTTAGAAATAAGAATGTTACCCAGAAGGAACTCAAAACCCAATAAACATAGGAAAAAAAGTTAGTCTTTGAAATAACTGTCAATATTTGACTCTTCGTAAATTCCAATTATAAAATAGCTAAGTCCACTTAAATTCAAAATTTAAAATAAATACACCATTTCACCTATGAAACTGACAAAGACTTTAAAACTATTCTCAGTGTTTAGTAAAGTTCAGGGAAAGAGACACATTCACATACTGAAGTAAGTGTAGAGGTAGGAATTAGTACAAATTTATGAGGGAAATTTTGAGGTAGGCATGAAAAATTTCAAGAAGTAGCTATACCTTGTCTTACGTGTGTTTTTCTCTGATTTCTGCTAGGGAAAATATGAGATGCCCATAAACTGGTAAATAAAGGAAGGACATAAACTAAAGTCCGATTCTAGGACCTTATTTTAGTTAATGATGGAATATCCCATAGGCCATGATAAAAGCAGTTGCACAGTACAATTTCACTGTGCAAAATAATGTTATGCATGCATTTACAAGCAGCTATAGAAGGATCACAGACAGGCTGAAAAGATACATAGCAAAATGTAAGAGTAATAATAATCTAACAGCTGTGGAATTAGTGGTGGTAGCAGTGATTTTTTTTTTCAATTTTTTTTTCTTTCCCTAGCTTTTTGTCATTGGTTGTGTGTTGCTTATCCACACTCTCACACACACACACGTATGAAAGGAGAAACATATAGCAACACAGCCTTTAGAAACAAAAGGGCATAGTAATACCAATTCCAGTTCAGACTTACTTGAGCTTCCCAAAGAGAAATCCTTGAACTTCATTTGCTCCAGTCTCGTCTTCTACAGTAGTATTAGTCACAGCTGTATCTTGGATAAAAAAAAAAAATAAAATCAAAATAAAAAGTATCCACAGAGTTGGAAAAGAACATATAATAAAAGATAATAATCAAATGGAATTAAATTTGTTACCTTCACGGACAAGCATATATACATGAATGTACGCAGGTTTGGATTAGTAAATATTTGACACTCATAATAAATGTTTTATAGATTTCATAGTAAACTCTGTTACAATAAAAAATGATAGACAAAGAGCTTGCAACAAATTCCAACTTTAGCTTTTATAATAGACAGAAGTTCCAAACACTGACAAATATGAGTTCTGGCATACTTCCCTTTTTTTAAAAAAATTATTTATTTAAAAGGTAGCTACAGAAAGGCAGAGAGAGAAAGAAAGAGAGAGAGAGGGAGAAAGAGGGAGGGAGGGAGGGAAGGAGAGGAGGAGGAAGGGAGGGACTGACTTCCATCTGCTGGTTTACTCCAAAAAATGCCCACAGCGGCCGGAGCTGGGCTGATCTGAAACCAAGAGCTTCTTCCAGGTCTCCCATGTGGACTTGGGCCATCTTCTACTGCTTTCCCAAACCATAGCAGAGAGCTGGGTGGGTTGGCAGTGGAGCAGCTGGGACTCAAACCAATGCCAGAACTACAATCAGTGGTTTTACTCCCTACACCACAGCACAGGTCCCTAGCATATTTCTGATACCCTTAAAGAAAATCAAGTAATCTTCACAAAAACACCAAAAGTCACAGCCTCAAAGAAAAAGGCATGTAATATTTTATAGTCCCTAATTTACCAAATAATTATAACACACAGTAAAGTGGAATTTTTTTAAAGATTTTATTTTTTTATTTGAGAGACAGAGAGAGAGGGAAAGACAGAGAGAAAGGTCTTTGATCTGCTGGTTTACTCCCTAAATGGCTACAACTGCCGAAACTGAGCCTCTTCAAAGCCAGGAGCTTCTTCCAGGTCTCCCAGGTGGGTGCAGGGTCCCAAGCACTTGGGCCATCTTCTACTGCTTTCTCAGGCCATAGCAGAGAGCTGGATTGGAAGAGGAGCAGCCAACACATGAACCAGCATCCATATGAGATGCCGGCACCATAGGTGGAGGCTTAGCTGGCTACACCACAGAAAAGTGAGATATTTGAAGGGTACTTTTGGATTCTAAGAATTGTGGCCTCTGACAGCATTGGGTTGCTCCCATTAGCACTCAAGCAAGTGAACTTCTCCTTCCTTACTCTTCTAGAGCTCTGTATCTCTAAGACTACAAGTAAAAACACCGGTGCTTTGATTAATCCTCCTTTATCTCCTGTCCATTCATTCATCAGGCAAAAATCTGTTGAGTGCAAACTATGACGCCTGACAATATATACACCAAGAAGACAGATGGAAATGATATTGGCCATACTTGGCAGAAAATAATATACAATTCTAATACACTATATAGAACGTTTTTGAAAGAAGGCACATAGAGAGGCCCTGATTCTAGTGCAACAGATTTAGTTGCCACGTGCAATGCTGGCATCCCATAAGGGAACACCAGTTCAAGTCATGGCTGCTCTGCATCTGATAGAGCTCCCTGCTAATACACCTGGAAAAGCAGTGGATGATGGCCCAAGTACTTGAGATCCAGTCACTCACATGGGAGACCAACATGGGGTCCAGCTTCCTGGCTTCAGCTGGGCTTAGTCTTGGCTATTTTGACTGTTTGGGGAGTGAACAAGTGGAGGGAAGATCTTTCACTCCTTCTCTCATTGTCACTTTGCCTTTCAAATAAATAAAATAAAACTTTTAAAAAAAAGCCACAAAGGGACAAGAGTACTTCAATATTCATGTGGAATTAAAAGAGCTTCTTTCAGGTCTCCCAGGTGAGTGCAGGGTCCCAAGGACTTGGGCCATCTTCTGCTGCTTTCCCAGGCTATAGCAGAGAGCTGGATCAGAAGTGGAGCAGCCAGGACTCAAATCAGCACCCAAATGGGATATTGGCACTGAAGGCAGCGTCTTTAGCCTCTGCTCCACAGCACTGGCCCCACCGTCTTCATTTATTTCCTAAAATTTTTTTATTTCTCTTTTGATTTCTTCTATGACCCACTCTTTATTCAGAAACATGTTGTTCATTCTCCATGTGCTTGCATATGATGTATAGATTCTTGAGTGATTTTCAGCTTCATTTTATTGTGGTCTGAAAAGATGCATGGTATGATTTTGATTTTTTTGAATTTGCTGAGAATCACTTTATAGCCTAGCATATGGTCAATACTAGAGAAAGTTCCATGACTAGGGAAAAAATGTGTACTCTATGAATTTAGGGTGAAAGGCTCTGTAGAGATCTGCTGAGTCAATTTGGTCTATAGTGTCAATTAACTCTGTTGTTTCCTTGCTGATTTTCTGTCTGGTTGATCTGTCCATTGCTGAATGTGGGGTATCGGAGTCCCCTGTTTCTATTTTATCTAAATTCCTTAATAAATCTTTTAAATAGCCAGGTGCCCTGTAACTAGGCATATATAATAATATAATTCACATCTTCCTGTTGAATTGATCTTTTAATCATTATATAGTGTCCTTGTCTCTTTAACTAGTTTTTGTATTAAAGTCTATTTGTTGATATTAGGATGGCCACACCAGCTTTTTTTGGTTTCTGTTTGCATGGATTATCTTTTTCCATCCTTTCACTTTCAGTCTGCATGCATCTTTGTTGCTAAGGTGTTTCTTGAATGCAACAGATAGATGGGTTTCCTTTTTTAATCCATTCAGCCAGTCTGTGTCTTTTAACTGATGAGCTGAGACCATTTACATTCAGTGTGACTATTGTTAAATATTGTCTTTTCCCTGCCATGTATCCTTAAATAGACTTATTTATGTATTTTGGATTTCATTTTTACTTTTGCTGGGTCATTTTCTACACTGATCTTCTTTTGTAGTGATGTTCCTGTTTCTGTGTTTCTGTGTTCTTGAACATCTGTTGTAGGGCTGGGCGAGAAGTTAAAATTTTTTCAATTTCTATTTGTTGTGGAAGATCCTTATTTCACCTTCATTCATAAATTAGAGTTTTGCAGGGTACAGTATTCTGGGTTAGCAGTTTTTTTCTCTCAGGACTTGGAATATGTCTTGCCATTGTCTCCTTGCCTATGAAGTTTGTGATGAAAAGTCCGTGGTGAGTCTAATTGAGTTTCCTCTGAATGTGATTTGGCATTTCTCTTGTGCACATTTTAAGATCTGTTCTTAGTGTTTCACTGAACTGAGTTTTGCCACAATGTCTCATAGTGAAGTTCTTTTCTGGTCATGTTTATTGAGAGTTCTGTGTATTTCTTGTACCTGGATCTCTTTCCTTCTCCAGATGATGGAAGTTCTCTGTTATAATTTCATTAAGAAGGACTTCTAATCTGTTTTCTCTTTCCACACCTTCTGGAGTGCCTAGGATTTGTATGTTGGATCATTTGATAGAATCTTGTAAATTTTCAACTGTGATTTTTAATTTTCTAATTTCTTCTCCTTGTATTTGGTCTGACTACATTATTACCAGAAGTTTGTCTTCTAGTTCTGATATTCTTTCTTCTGTTTCATCTATGCTCTTGCTGAGAGATTTCACTGCATTTTTCATTTGGTCTATTAAATCCTTCATTTCCAATATTTAATTCTGGCTTCTCTTTAAAATCTCAATTTCTTGGGAGCACTTTTCATTTAGATTTTGAATTTGTTTCTGATTGCTTTTAAGTAATCTGATTATTAATTTTCTGAATTCCTTTTCTGGCATATCCTCGATTTCTTCTTCTTCAGCCTCCATTATTGAAGATTTGGAATGCTCCATTGTCAAGTTCATAAATTCTTCTTTATTCTTATTCAGCGTTTTTCCTTTGTTCTTTGGTATTTCTGGTTGGTTTCTGGTTGGTTTTATTTTTAAATTGATATCCCTCTGCTATGAGCTGCTATGTGCCCATGTGTTGCAAGTGGAAGCACACAGCTCTGCCTCCTGGAGCTTCGTTTACTTCTGGATCGTGATGAAGGTGGGTACCAGGGCTTTGGTGTGTTAAGCTCTGGCTACTGTGGCTGGGCTCCCTGCTCCCTGGTTCATGAAACAATCTTGGGTTTTTACTGTTTAGGATTACTCCTTGTTGTATAACTTGCATAGTGGGGAAACAATCAGTCTGAAATCTTGTGATCCTTGTTCCTGGGTGGGGCGTGTTGTGAGGTATCTCTCACAATCTATGGATGTGTGAGCAGGAGGCGAATGCAGCAGCACTCTGCTTACAATGGAAAATGTAAACAACCAATATGGCTTTTCCCTGCCAGCTGTACATCCAGTTGGGATCCTGGTGTGTCCAACCTCTCCGCCCACTCCCCTACAATTTCGCTTCCTTCCCGCTTAGAGCCTCGAGGGCTGTTTGCAGAGTTTTTCCACCTGCCACTGTCTGCAGCTCCATGGGCTAGTAACCTCTCACTTGGTTTGCTGTGGGGACATGGGGGGCGCAGAACCTGTCTCCTTGCTCAGTCCCTGCACCGCTCCTTTGTTATACCTTCACCATCTCTCCCCCCTCTCTGCTCCCTGGAGCGTGGACCTGAGCAGTCTCTGTGGACTTCTGGGCTACTCTGTGAGAACTTCTCGCGATTCCATTGCCTGCTTGTATCCCCTCTATTCATTATCTATTTTTCCTTGCGCAATTCGGAATGTCCCACTGCTATATCACCATCTAGCCCCTCTTCCCACAGTTTTTTTCATAATACTGATTTTCCATAAATTCTTTGAAGATCCCCCCATTCCTGTTGCCAGGGACAAAGAAAATGAAAATCCAATCTCTGACAGAGATAGGAAAATAGGCAGCCATCTCAAAGGAACTGATTGATACACATGATAAAAGATAAGCATGACTTAGTATAAAACAAATGCAAGGCTGGAGAAGGGAGGCAGGCTACAGGCAGAAGGAAAGCATATGCTAAGAGTGATACTATTAGAGATCATCAAGGCTTTACATGTAGCCCAAGCATAGGGGTGTCCAAGGAACAGAAAATTGTTTTGAATAGTAGTGTTGCAGAGAGAGGAAGAATGTTAAGGTAGAGAAAAATAAAATGTGAAAATCTGTTTACTCTAGTATAGTACCTGAATTATGAGGGAGGTTATATTAAGCCATTAAAAGATTTTCACCAATGGAATTACAAAGTCAGATTTTCATTATATGAAGTTCATTTTGAAAGCACTGTCAAGTCTATTTTGGAGGGTGGTGAGAATGAAGACAACTGAAGACAGAAGAACAGGCAGAGGGCCAGTTACAAGTCTGACACATGTACACAGAGAGAAACAAAAATAAATAAACTGAAAGAGTAGCAAAGGGACCTGCATCTTGAATGCAAGGCAAAGATACATTCCAGATATATACCAAAGGTTGGTGACAAAATTTTGTACAAAACATAGATAATATATATAGGTGTCTATGTATGTATGTGTATGTATAAATATAAATATAACCTTACTTTATAAAGAAATCTCTAAGCCCAAGGAGAGCTGTGAAATGCCTTATGTTACTATCATATTTTAAGATGCTAAATTATAGAGCACTGTAGAGCTACATATATAAGATACACAGAAATATATGAAATTTGCATATTATTTCTCCTATATTTTCAGTGTCTTTCCTGTACTATTACATCAGACATTCATCAGAATTGTTTAATAAGATAGAAAAAACTTTTTGGATATTGTGATTGCCTGGTGAAAATGTTAACAGTCATAATTTTTTTTATAGTTTATTACCTGGTCATATCACTTAATTTTTTATTAATATAAAGAGAACAGAGTTCATATATTTCATAAATACAATTCCAAGAAGATAACCACATTTTCCTCCATCTCCCAATCCACCTCCCTCCTTTTAATTTTTGTTAAAACATAATTTCAACCCATTGTACAACCACACACTTAATGTATCACTAGCCATAATAATCAACAAGTAAAAACCAGGAACACCATCATTCCACACGAGTATAAACAAGGTCTAAAAACAATCAAATCATAACAAAATGTATTTAAACTCCACTAATACAGACGTTTACTTGCAGTACATTCATTAGAAGCAGCCAGAGTTAAGTCTATGATTAAGGCACAGCCTCCATGACCACATACTGAATAGCAAAATAAAGCTGAGCAGAAGTCACACTGAGTGTATACGAAAGAATGAAATACAAACTCTTCATCAGGGCCAGCATTGTGGCTTAGCCCCCACCTGCAATGCCAGCATTCCACATGAGTGCTGGTTAATGTCCCAGATGCTCCACTTCTGATTCAAATCCCTGCTAATGGCCTGAGAAAATCAGCAGAAGATGGCCCAAGTGCTTTGGCCCCTGCCACCCTGTGTGAGACCAGGTTGAGTGCCTGGCTCCTGGCTTCCGTATGGCCTAGCACTGGCCATTGTAGCCATCTGGGGAGTGAACCAGAAGATGGAAGATCTCTGTCTCTCCCTCTCTCTCTCTTGAACTCTCTTAAAATCAATAAACCTTGGCCGGCGCCATGGCTCACTAGGCTAATCCTCCGCCTGCGGCGGCAGCACACTGGGTTCTAGTCCCGGTTGGGGTGCCAGTCCTGTCCCGGTTGCTCCTCTTCCAGTCCAGCTCTCTGCTGTGGCCCGGGATTGCAGTAGAGGATGGCCCAAGACTTTGGGCCCTGCACCCGCATGGGAGACCAGGAGAGGCACCTGGCTCCTGGCTTCAGATCAGCGCAGTGCGCCGGCTGCAACATGCCGGCCATAGCAGCCACTTGGGGGGTGAACCAACGGAAAAATGAAGACCTTTCTCTCTGTCTCTCTCTCTGTCACTAACTCTGCCTGTCAAAATAAATAGATAGATAGATAGATAGATAGATAGATAGATAGATAAAATTAACAAACCTTAAAAAAAAGTCTTTATCAAGAATCAGGCATAAATAAATTTAATAAGCCAGGTAATAAAAGACTTCTATATGAGCTCTCAAAATTTCTTTATTTAGTCTCCAGAATTTCGTCCTCTAGAACTACTATAGATAGATACCAGTTTGACTATCACAAAACTACTGAATCTCCCTCATCTAAATAATTCACAAGACTTTATCCATTCTTAAAAACAATCACCCTAATTTCATTATAAATGAGTTATTTCAGACAAAGTTTCCATTGCTAGTGAACCACAGGTTTGCACAGATACTGATCGTACTCCAGTCTGAGTTCCTAAGCCAATCATTGCTAGCCAGAAGCTGCCTCATCTATTGCCTCTGTGTACCTCCCATATACTTTCCTTTGTTATGTGGTGCTGAAAATGACTGGAAAACTACTTTGTATAAGCAAAATAATATAGTATTTCCTATTCTAAAGAGGTTTTGGGAACACAGTAATGTTGTTCATTTCTTTCAGCTTAAAGTTAAATTCCAAATTAAGTAGGACCATGTCCACCTCATCTCCAGCTTCAGGGAAACACAGTACAAGTACCAATTATCTTGCCTTTTTTTTTTTTTTTTTCAAAACAAAAGTATATAAGCCTGCAACTTTTCATTCTACTCAAATACAGAAAATTCACTTCATTTATTTGAAAGGCATAGAAAAAGAGATCTCTCATCTGCTGCTTCACTCTCCAAATACCTCTAACAGAAAGGACCAGGGCCAGGCTAAAGCCAGGAGCTGAATCTGGGCCTCCTGGGAGGGTACTAGGAACACAATTACTTGAGCCATCCCTGCTGCCTGCTAAGGTGCACATTAGCAGGAAGCTAGAATTGGAAGTGCAACTGGGACCTGAACTCCAACATGAGACACATGTGTCGATGGTAACGTCAAATGCCCATCCCTAGAAAACTTACCTTTAACTTGGGTATCGTCCAATGCTTTATACTCTGTACTCTTAATCGCTAGCTCCACACCATAGCCAGATAAGTACATTTTCCGCGAGTTTGGTTTCTGTTCAAATGGTTATTTTAAAAAAAGAGAAAATGTTTAGTCAAACACCTCATTTCAAATCCAATATGTGTGTATATTATGAAATTATGGTAAATAACCGTAAATAATATCAAAATTTTTAATCATTATGAAATCTTATTTGTGGGACATTTATATTCTTTCTACATAGACTATCAAGAAATCAGAGATTGGTTGACCACCACTACTTCCTATGAACTTTTTCATGAACTGTACTGCTTCAGTTTTTTATAATTAAAAAAACCTGTTTTATTTCTGTTATATCATCACAATTTTCTCATATCTCTCATAGTTAATTAAGAGAATCAAGTCTCAGAAAATCTGCTCTGTTTCTGGCGACCTCTACAAGATTTGCTATACCAGCATATGCTATTTATTCACTGTTATTTAAAGAGTTCCTAGCACAGAGGCATTAAAATATTTTTGGAATTAATGTAATAAATATATAAAATAAAAAATTATATACACATGCATGACACATTTTTTATATTTCATTTCATAGATCACCCTGCACAGATTTTGTAAATACTACATCCTATTTTGTCAACACATTCAGTATATTTAAGATTATCCCACTCTGGGGCTGGCACTACGGTGCAGTAGGTTAATCCTCCACCTGCTGCGCCAGCATCCCATATGGGTGCTGGTTCTAGTCCCGCTGCTCCTCTTCCAACCCAGCTTTCTGCTATGGCCTGGGAAAGCAGTGGAAGATGGCTCAAGTCCTTGGGCCCCTGCACCTGCGTGGGAGACCTGGAAGAAGCTCCTGGCTCTTGGCTTCGAATCAGCACAGCTCCAGCCATTGTGGCCATTTGGGGAGTGAACCAGCAGAGAGAAGCCCTTTCTCACTGTCTGTAACTCTACCTCTCAAATAAATAAATCAAATCTTAAAAAAAAAAAGATTATCCCACTTCTAAACAGCAGGAACTCACCCAAAATGACATGCTGAGCAACCAAATTTAGGAATGGTAAAGAGCACTGGGGAAAAAACTTAGATGATATTACTGGATACATTCCTGGATAGCCTTGGTGGCCTAGCTCTTCACAAAATTTCACTCATTCACTTTTTTTTCCCACCACAGCATCAGCCCCTGTGCTTTTTGTTTTCAAAGATTTATTTTTTTATTTAAAAGTCAGAGATACACAGAGAGAGAAAGAGAGGCAGACACACAGAGAGAGAGAGAGGTCTTCCATCCACTGGTTCACTCCCCAACTGGCCACAAAAACTGGAGCCGTACTGATCTGGAGCCAGGAGCCAGGAGCTTTTTCTGGGTCTCCCATGTGGGTGCAGGGGCCCAAAGACTTGGGCCATCTTCCACTGCTTTCCCAGGCCATATCAGGAGAGCTGGATCAAAATTGGAGCAGCCAGGACTTGAACCAGCAGCACCCATGTGGGATGCCGACACTGAAGGCAGTGGCTTTACCCACTATACTACAACCCTGGACCCTCTCATGCACTTCTGACTTAGAAAAACTGTAAAAATACACTGGTAATGCAACATCTTGACATACGGAAAAAGTAACTGCAACATCCCAGGCTCTGTTTCTAACCTTTTTTAAACAGAATATATTGCAATGCACTAGCCCACCTTATCAAATGGCCCCTTGGGTTTAAAACCCAGGTTACAGTGTGTGTTCAGTGTCCCTCAGCTGCAGGGCATATGAAGCACACTCAGTTAAGACACCATCTGTCTTGAGAAGTTTTCCTGAGTCTCAGGGGAATGTTTTACCATGGCCTGCATCAATGTATCATCCTAGGCCTGTATCAACTCCTGTTGCCTATCTGAGTAATAAAGTTGCCTTGCTTAACTTGCTGTGTTCATATACTGTTTCAGCAAACTTATGGAGAGGATTGATACTGAAACATGTTATTGACAAGATATTTAGAGTACTCTGCAGGAACTGATGCCAGTACATGGTAAACCTACTACCAAAGTATGGAAAACAAAATTAAGATACACATACTTAAATGAATTATTAATCTCCCACCCCCAGTACTGAGCCCTATTAATGCCCAACTCATGGGGTATATCGAAGATCATTAAGATAATGGTCATAAATGTAAAACTCCTTCCTGCATCCATATCCTTTTGTAATCTGACCTTGCCATTTCCCAAAAAGAAAGAAATTCAGTGCACATTTCCATTAATTTGCATCTGGATGGTGTTGTGACTCACTTTGCCTAAAACAATGTGGCAGAATGATCTGCATGAGATCTTTGGATTAAGGCTTGATAGTGATTACAATTTCCACTATTTCTTTTGGAGGTTTTTTTTTTTTTTTTTGACAGGCAGAGTGGACAGTGAGAGAGAGAGACAGAGAGAAAGGTCTTCCTTTGCCGTTGGTTCACCCTCCAATGGTCACCGTGTATTGCCTTTCATTTTTCAATATGTAAAACCAAATTTCTTCGTACTGGTGGGTGGCTTGAGAACCTCCAAAAGGGCCGGCGCCGTGGCTCACTAGGCTAATCCTCCACCTTGCAGCGCCGACACACCAGGTTCTAGTCCCGGTCAGGGCACCGGATTCTGTCCCGGTTGCCCCTCTTCCAGGCCAGCTCTCTGCTGTGGCCAGGGAGTGCAGTGGAGGATAGCCCAAGTGCTTGGGCCCTGCACCCCATGGGAGACCAGGAGAAGCACCTGGCTCCTGGCTTCAGATCAGCACAGTGCACTGGCTGCGGCGGCCATTGGAGGGTGAACCAACGGCAAAAGGAAGACCTTTCTCTCTGTCTTTCTCTCTGTCCACTCTGCCTATCCAAAAAAAAAAAAAAAAAAAAAAAAAAAAAAAGAAAGGCAGTACAGAAGAGTACAGAAGAGGACCAAGGAACTATAGCCATCAACTGGAACTAACTTCCCAATAGGTGTATGGGAATAATTTGAATCCTTAAACACTGATCTAATATTGAGTAACCACCACTTCATGAAAGAGATCAGCAGAAGAAATGCTTAGAGTGGATAAAAAAAAAAACAAAAATTAATAATTTTTGCCTAGGCCACTGAATTCTGGCAAAATTGTTGCATAGCAATTCAGACACAGACAACATATCCAATAAATGGGAAAGGAGGGAGGGGAGGGAGAAAAAAGGAAGAGATGACAGAGCCTTTCTCACAGATTCTAATTCAACAGAATTTCACGAGATACAACAAATAGATCTGAAAGGAAAAATAGGCAAATCAACATCCACAGTTAGATATATTCCTCTCAATAACTGATAGAATAAGCATAGAATTCAGATAACCTAAGAACCAACAATTTTTATAAAGAATTCCACCAAAGAAAAGCAGAACACTCAGCCCTTTCAAGTACAAAGAAACACTGACAAAACTACATACTCTGAGCCAAAAAACACAATTTAATAAATTTTTAGAAATAAATATGAAATATGGCTCAAACTGTAACAAAATGAAACTTGAAATCAATGATAAAAAATCTGGATCATCACAAAATATATGGAAATTAATACTTCTAAATAAGCAATAGATCAGAGAGAAAGATTCAAGGAGATTTTTAATCTTATTTTTATTTTAAAAAAACTAAAAATAACAGAGCAACATTATACACTAAATGGACCTAACATATATTTACAGAAACTTTCATCCTATAGTTGCAGAATACACATTCTTCTCAGCAGTGCATTGAACTTCCTCTAGGATTGATCACATGCTAAGCTATAAAGTAAGTCTCAGTAAACTCAAAAAAAAAAATAAAATTGAAATCATAGCATGCATCTTCTCAGACCACAATGAAATGAAGCTGGAAATCAACAACTCAAGAATCTCTAGAACATATGAAAACATATGGAGACTGAACAATATGCTCCTGAATGAGTGAGTCATGGAAGAAATCAAAAGAGAAAAAAAAATTTCTGACCTTCTGTTCCCTGGCCTCTTGCCAGGAAGGGGCTGGCTTTAGCCCTTTGCCTCCAGGGCATGTGGCCTTTGGGCCACCTGCCCTAGGCTTCCTGGCCTAGATGCTCCTCCACGTGGCTGGATCCTGGTGCTTGGTATGAACCAGATTTACTCCTCTCTCTTTTAGATAAAGCTTCACTCTCCTATGCATCTTCCACACTAAATAAAAGCTTAAAATATAAATAAAAATTCTGGAAACAAATGAAGATGACAATAAAAAATATCAAAACTTATGGGATACAGCAAAAGCAGTGTTAAGAGAAAAGTTTATAGCAATTGACACCTGCATCAAGAAATTGGAAAGGCACCAAATAAATAAGCTACAAATGCATCTCAAGAACATAGAAAAACAACAACCAAACCCCTAACTAGGAGAGAAGAAGTAAAATTGGAAAAGAAATAAATAAAATTGAAACAAAAAATACAAAAGATCAGCAAAAGAAGATCTGGATTTTTGAGCAGATCAACAAAATTGATACACTGGCCCAACTAACCAAAAAACAAAAAAATAAAGAAAAGACTCAAAGCTACAAAATCAAAGATGAAAAATGAAATGTAACAACAGATACCACAGGATTAAAAAACCATCACCAAGAATTACTACAAAGAGCTATAAAACAACAAACTGTGAAACCTAGAAACAATGGATAGATTCCCGGACACATGACACATACAACTAACCTAAATTGAGCAATGAAAACATAGAAAAACTAAATAGACCAATAACTAAATTGAGATTAAATCAGTAATAAAGACCCTCCGAACAAAGAAAAGCCCAGGACCATATGGATTCATTGCCGAGGAGTATCAGACATTAAAAGAAGAACTACTTAAGGTATACTAAGCTGATCTTCTGTATATTAAGATAATCGAAAATGAATCTTGATGTGAATGGAAGGGGAGAGGGAGTGGGAAAGGGGAGGGTGGTGGGTGGGAGGGACGGTATGGGGGGGAAAGCCATTGTAACCCATGAGTCGTACTTTGGAAATTTATACTCATTAAATAAAAGATAAAAAAAAAAATAAAAGAAGAACTAATTCCAGTTCTTGTAGAGATATTCAAAACAACTAAAAGGGAGAA